ACAAATATGTGCAATCAATTATGTTTCAATAAAAATAGATAAATAAATAAGGTATGGACAACAACCCCCCCCCCCCCCGCAAAAAAAAACTGAGAGCCTGGGATTAGGTTTCAGCATTCAGCAGTATGACTCAAGACTATGAATTGGGAAGAAACAGATCTTTTTTCTGAGTATTGCTGATCAAAATCTGCTCCTCATCAGATGACATGGCTTTGTCTAGGCAGAGCAGTTCAGAAAGAAATACCATTATATGAAAGACATGATGAAGAGAAGATGAAGGAGGGGGCTATTTATTTTGTTTATGGAAATGGCGAGTGTATTACTTGATCTTTCTGGTGCTTAATTTATAATGTTTTGCTCCTTTGTCCTGCTTCTAACCAAAAGGCTATTTTCTGAAGAATTCTTTACTCTTGCTCCTGTGGTTCCCATCAGTACACCTATTCCTAGGCCAGGGAGAGTCTTCCTCTCTCCTCTTGAGGCATCTCCCGTACATGAAGAGCTACGTGCTCTTCAAAGGAGAGAAAAACCAACATGCAGGCAGTGGTGAGAATGTGTGAGTTTTCCATGCCTTTTAGAATCTTTTAATAAAACTTTTAAAAATGAATTTCTCAAAAACAAAGGGTAAAGATGTCCCCTCCCTTTCTGTCCCCATGGCTCAGTCATGCTGAGGCATACACATTTAGAAAGGATTCCAACTGGTCCAGAAGTAAATGTAATGCCCGTGAATGGAGCAGACATTAAGCAGAAGAATTCCTGATGTTTAAATTTCTTAAATATTCCAATTCACTTTTTTAAAAATAGTATTTGGGTTTCTACTTTATAAAGTAACTCTGGGGTACTTACTTTAGCCAACTCTTAAAGCTTTTTATTTCTTCCCAAGGAAAGTAATCTTCCTGTTGTCCAGATGTTTACAGTTTCCAAGAAACATCAGGAAGTAGGAAAATGTAAGGCCGGAGAGTAGCACAAAGTTAAATTAACAGATTTATATATATTATATAAATAGCTGTAATCCAACTTCGTATTGTAATGTTCTGTATTGAGTATAATTTGTATACTTTTTTTATAATCAATGCCTAAATGATCACTTTGGAGGCAAGGTGGGGGCATACTAGCAACCAAATAAATACATTTGTTAAAGAGAACCAGATTTAGATTTTTGAAAATTAGATCGATGTTGACATTTCAACCAGACTTAGGTTTTTGAAATTTAAATTGATGTTGACATTCCACATAATAATTATATACTGGTGCATGCTTGTCTCTAGAAATGAATCCTGTCTTAAAACTGGGTTTTACTCTCTGAAGTTTCCACCTAATGTCATTTTTGGTACAGCCTGAGAATCCCTATTAATGTAATTGTCTGCAAAGTGTAGTAAAAAGAGCTGGAGCCTTAAAGCAAGTTCCTCAATTTATCTGTTATTCTGTGGTACTGTTCACATTTTAGTTTTTTCTGTAATATCAACTGTATGTGTACTATCATGCCAGTATAGGAAACCCCAGCCTTTTTTTTTCTCCTTCAAGATTTTCAGTGATTATACCTCAGGTATTTCTGAATATCCTATTACCTAGTAGGAGAGATATTTTTGTGAGCTCAGAATTAAAGTTCTCCTGAATTATGAAGATCCCAAATATTATGTAAATAGCCTTAGACATAGATCTTTAGGGAGAAGTTAGTGACCATTGAAAGTTTTATGCTATATGTCCTAGATTTGACATAAATGAACACTCCGACAAGGAAGGAAGGAAGAGGCAGCTCACGACAAAAGCCTGTTCTCTATTAAAATTATATTTTACACAGTATTCAAAGCTTGTTATTTTTTCTTACCATTTTAGTACATAATTAATACTTGGTGGTTCCTAACATCAACTTTTGACATCTGGAACTAGGGCTCTTAGTGTTTAGTGGTCCACTTCTCTGATGTCAGATGCACAGGGACCTGTACTCCATGTGCTACATAGCAGCAGCACAGTCTGGTGACTGAGTGGTCACGTTGCAGAGCACAGCCCCAGAAGTGGGCATAAGTGCCCTCTGTGTGGGGCAGTCAGGGAAATCCTCTTGTTTGGTATCTGGGGTTTGACTTTGTCAAACAGCTGTTTGTGCACCTACCTTTGCTTTGTCAAATGTAAATCAGATAATAAACATGATTATCTTCTTAAGTTTTCATTGTGTCCCTGTGTTTTTGTCCTAGCCGTTTGCACAGATAATCTTGCACTAAATCTATACTTTCCATTATGTCATTTTCGGTTAGGAAACAATCTGTTTGTCAAACTACCATATACAGAACACCCACTAATAGTCAGAAGTAGGAAACAGATCTTATTGTATTTTCTTAGTTATTTTTAAAAAATAGAATAGACAGAGGCCGGCCCGGTGGTGCACTGGATAGTGCGCCGCTTGGGAAGCGCGGCGGCGCTCCCGCCCAAGGGTTCGGATCCCACATACAGACCGGTTCCCGCTCACTGGCTGAGCGAGGAGCGGGAGCAACACTGAGGGTTGCGGTCCCGTTGCCGGTCCCGGTCCAGTGCGGGGGCAACACTGAGGGTTGCGATCCGTTGCCAGACACGGAAAAAGACAAAAAAAAAAAAAAAATAGAATAGACAGTGTCTATATATACCATAATGTCTCCTTAGCAAAGTAATAGCAACAAAAATAGAATCTGAAGTCCTTTATGTGCAGATATTAAGTTTGAGAAGATTCAGGAAGTGTGAAGCAGTTCTTTTCCTATAGTCTACAGTTTTCTGTTGACACACTTAGCTATTTAAAAATGGTTTTCAAGAAACTAAATTTCGGGCCGGCTCCGTGGCTCACTCGGGAGAGTGTGGTGCTGATAACACCAAGGCCACAGGTTTGGATCCCATATAGGGATGGCCGGTTAGCTCACTGGGTGAGCGTGGTGCTGACAACACCAAGCCAAGGGTCGAGATCCCTTTACTGGTCATCTTTAAAAAAAGAAAAGAAACTAAATTTGAACACTGTTGGATTCTAACAGAAAAGATCCTTGGATATTCTCTTATCTCCTTAACAATTAAATTTCTGTATTTTTTTAAAAACTTAATATCTGTTTAGAGTCGTGGACATTTATACTGAATAAATGAAGTATGAGACTACTTCTTTGTTATGAAATTTAGTGATATTCCCAGCATGTAATTGTGTTTTCTTTCACACATGAATATCTGTAGATGTGTTTAAGTTCAAAACCTCTGATGAGGGTAAAGATTTGAGGCCTTGAGCATCCTGTTGACTTCCATCTGTTTTTACTATATTAAGTTTGTTATACTAACACCAAGATTTGTTTTCCTGTTTTACAAATTAGTTTACATGAAATAAGGGCCAAAATATACCACAAAATTTTTAAATGAACAAATGTTACTGTGCAAGTTTGGCAAAGTTGCCAAAATACAACTTGGCTGGCAGGCAGTGTTGCCAGCCATAGCGTGAAGTGTTTTCATCTTTAGTTTAGGAAAGCATGCAACAGGTGTTATGAGATGTTTTAGTGAAAAGCACGCAAAACCCAAATACAGTTATGCATAGCTTAAGGACAGGGAGACATTCTGAGAAATGCAGCAGTAGATGATTTTGTCATGTGAATATCAGAGTGTATTTACACAAACCTGGATGGCATAGCTACTACACACCTCCAGCTCCACTACAATCTTATAGGACCACCATCGTATATACAGTTGGTTATTGACTGAAACATCATGATGTGGAACATGACTATAAAAATCAAAATATTAATTCACAAAATTTAATTTTCTTGCATTCTCAGCAAAATCATTAAGTTGTTAAAAAGGAGTATTTTTCACATCACATTCAAACATAGTGGCCAGGAAATTTTACAAAGTATTTTAATTTCATATAATTCATTACCACTTACATGGCTATCTTCACCCTCTCTTGTAATCTGTAG